TATCCTTTTGACCATTCAAATACAGAAAGCTTTTCAGAAACTATTTATGGAGAACCTATTTTTATTGTCAATACATAAAAATCAAGCAATAATTGTTTCGTAGCCATTCTTTCCACTAGAAAATACTACCATTGACCCATAGAGCTGATCCAAAATAGAGCCAATGAGCCCTAGAGCATGGGCTTGACAGGAGTATGGCCGCTCATCGCTTTGGACCTAACCGAAAATTGTTAAAGCTAAGCATAGTCCACCGTGCAAATGTACCCAACGTAGCTTTAATGAAGTCTGTCTATTTCCCTTCTCATCGGCGCCGCTTTCAAGCAGTAACTTTCATTCACCTTCTGTCCGGTTAGACTGTAGTAAATTGTTGTTGTTTTGTAATCACACAAACAAAATCCTTCTTGTATTGACATGAGCTATACTAATACACTGGACAAATCAAGTAGAAAGACGTTAGATTACTATGATGAAGGGAGTGCCGATTAGACATATATATATATTGGGCTCCCTTCCGTCTTGTTTAAAATAAGATAAGTAAGATTATAAAACTATGAGAAGAGGTGAAGAATACGTGGGGAAAAGCCTTCGCATGAGTCGAAAAAGTGTTAGAGGGGCATGGGGGAAGTGACGTCGAACAAAACTAAAACCTGTTGTACGTACAAAAAACAGTCGTGATCACTCTAATATCGGGTGCGCTCGAGACCGCGCACACAAAAACAATGGTCTCTCATGGGCTATATAATTATTATTAGATACTTTATATCCATTTACTTTTTTGGGTATGTGTCAGTTGCAAGCGTGCAAGTAAATGAAAGATGAATTTGTCAAGGCGCCCAGTACGTTTCTAAGATCTAGCCATTCACTACAAAAATACTTTCGTAAAATACCTCATCCTGTACATAAATTAACTTCAATTGGAGAAAGACAGCTTTCTTGCTGATCCTTAAGTTAAGAGCTTATTATAACAGCCACTGCCGAAGAGGGGTCTGAGAAGTAGGCCCGACGAATTTCCTTTATACGACAGTGCTGTATGGTGTAGCGTCATGCTAGTTCGGGACACCAATCATACCATTATATACAGTGTGGCTGTGCTTACAAATATACATACACAGAACCTTCCCGAGGAGCCACAGCTAATTCACTCGTATACTCACACTTGCACACACGTGCATTTGTAACGCATGCACTGCGGGCTGAATAACCAGCCTCACAGGAAGATACTGCCAGGTCCTCATGCACAGATGTTTGCGTACCCAGGACGCGGATGGCTTGCAAATATTTATTTAAGAACTGGAAAACGCTTGTTCGTGCCGCGTTATCGATATCCGCCAAGAATAGGAGCGTACAACGATATTCGTTACTCGCATCGAGAGCTTCTACCCTGATGATGCACGCTATTAGGCCAACCTATTTCCAGTCGAACCTAGAAACAGCTGATAACAGTTACGTATATCGTATTGTCTAATCTGAGCACATGTATATTAGCTTAGAACAAATGAAAAAAAATTATTTCCATTATTATTAAAAATAAAATTATGTTGAAAAATTAGTGCGTGCACGACATGTGTTCTAATAGGTGTCGGGGAATAATATGGTTCGTTTTGTCAAACTGGCGTCATTGGAGATCCACAGTATCGATTGAAAAAGTCTGTGGTTTCGTAAGACAAGGAAAAATCTGATAGCGGTCTATTGTGTTCTAAAAGTATGGCTGAATTCAGTTCCATGGCATTTACTAAGAAAAATGCAAACATGACTGACCGAGCCGGGTCGAAATATTCCAAGCAGCAACGATTGTTTTACATTTTGCCTACCGGTGGCCTAACAGGCTGTTCCTCGGGGCTTCGAGACACTTTGATTCAGTAATAAATATAAAGTATAATGCTTACTTTATTGTAGAATTTTATTTAGCATCAACAGGCCGTCTACCTATCGGAACATTTAGCTCAATCGGCTTAATTAGGGAGCAATTTCAGGTTTGTACCACGTTACATAAAAGACCAATTATCTTTTTCGAATTTGATTACGAAATTCGGGAATTCAGCACATGTGATATATGGACACGGGGCGGAACATGTCTACTAGGGCAAAAAAATACGCAGCAATAATAAGGCTAGTATTTGCAGCTGTCCCATGTATTTTACATAGACCGGGTTGTTTTGCCTATTCTCTTCTGAAGCCGTGTTCCGCAAATACATTCTTGAAACTTCTAAACATGTGTCTTTTTTTCCACTGTTTTTCGGTAGTATAATTAATTAGTACGGAATAATTATTAAGGTTAAGTATTATATTTGTCTAGCTATTGAAAAAGATAACTATATTAAGTGATCATGATGTGCTGAAGGCAGCCAAAATACCATTAAGGTTCTGGAGCAAAGCAAAAGTTTTTCAAGCTCTTAAATCAAGTTATCCAATTTGAGATAAATCTTACTTCGTTCCGTCTACACCATTCTACGGTGGACACGTCGTTAAGTGCACCCCATTTCTACCTTTTCTGGAGGTAAAAGTGTCGTCGTAAAAGCACTGTAAGTTAAAATTAATTATTTGCTGTACAAGGGCTCCGTTTCGAAATGCATTTGTCGTTGTCGTTACGTGACAATATCAGCGCAACATATTAGTTTTTACAATTACACAAGTTCTTTATTTTAGATACTTCTTATCAGTTGATATTGTTATTAATTCTAAATATGTATCTACGTACCTCGTACGATTCAGAGGTTTACATAAAAAGCAGCTTGAATTCAATAAGCGTGCAATGCCAGAAGTCTTCACTTACTGAAGTGCGGATTATGTACGCGATAGGGTGTTTAATACACATGTGTATGGGCATCGTGCACATCGAACATCATTTATTTATAGTATCGAGATTCTATAGAAGACACTATCTTTTGTGTAGCCCTGCATTGAATTCATGATGTCAGCCGGAAGCGATACTGGGTCAAGGTAGTCCTTATAATGGGAACTACCACCACTGCGTCATTAGTCAGAAAATCTAAAAGAAGGCAGGATAACCAAGTTGCTCTATATGAGACCGACATATTTTTCGAAAATTGTTTCAATTATCCTCCAGTATGAAAGTGAGAAAAGAACGAAAGAGAGCTGGTAGAAGCAAGTGCTGATTAGAACGCCTAAAGAACTCTACCGACCATGTGCGTTTTCTTGAAACGCAATTCACAGTTGTTTTTAAAATTGGCGCCAACATTCATAGCCATACTAATCCTACAACATAAACAAATCTTACCTTACCAATGAAAATTTTCGAATCGATTTACAGGTTCGTCTTGTTTTTGGAACTAGCGCCCCGAATAGCGGCCAAGTTTTAGCGCTTGGCGGTCTTTTTTTTTTTTTTTTTTTTACGTGATCATGTCATAAGAAGTAATCATGTCCAATAGTATTTTATGAAGTGGATATATTTAGAGGAAATTAGAAAATTTAATCGATAAAAATGGTCGAAAAATTCTGTGAGACACTTTGAATGAAATTAAATGATATTTAAAAAATAATATGATTAATGAAAAAAAAATAATAGCAAACATTTATTAACACATGTAGACATATTTGCGATGTGTAAACGATGTTCCAATCGTTGAACAAAATGACAATACCCGATAGTTGTTCTGAAAACTGTACCTAACAGGCTGATCATCCCAAGTTTTTGCACGTTATCGAGCAATGTTTAGAACAGGAAGTGCTTTTGATTGGTAAACGTTCATCACTTTGGTATGGCACATGGTATCCGTGTGGCAGAGACTACCTCCCATTTGAAGCAAGAACGATAAAACCTGTTCTCGTTCGTCCCGAGACGTTGCTTGGTATTACCTCGGTGACTCACCCCGGAGGCTTCATCTTGATCACCTCCACATGGCCTGAGGCAGCGCTTTTTCCGCAAGGTGTTGTCTAGTTTGGGACTATAAAGGAAGGCGTATTGTCAAGCATACGGTAAGCGACTCCTCTGGTAACATTGGCCGAATCATTATTGCGTTCTCGCAATGCTATAGCTCCGTCAAGGTGCTAGCTATTTTGAAGGGCTGTATTAACAAACGAGGTCATATCCAACCCGAGGAACGTTTGCCACGATAGAGATCAATTTTGGTTTTGCAATTTTGGCAGTTCGCACTCCGCTACAGTGAGCAATGCCGATAGACAATCATTACCTGCCCGACATTACGTAACCAAAAAAAGGGAACTATTTGTCTCTCTATTTATTCTAACTAAAATTAATAAAAATCAAGCGGTGAAAACACCTATGAGTAGTCAAGAATGCGGCGGAATCTACGGTGGTTGAAAAACAAGAATGTAATGTACGTTTTACATTAAACAATGTTACTCGTAAAGTGTAATCCGCAGAAATGGATAATATTACTACGGTAAAAAGATTTTGCTAATTTTAAACCAATCATTTGTTTCACAATCTAACACATAAAGAAGCAAACAGCAACTAAGACTCGTTATCAACAGGTTTATCGTGGGGCCCAAAAAGCTCACCTAAAGCTCAATCTACTGCGCCTAACTCTGGATTGCAGGCTGACTTAGATCGAGAATCATTGCTGGACTGCATGGCCTGTTTTATAGTCAGTCAGCGTTTCAGAGAACAGACCCTGCAGCAATCGAGACGGCGGTCCCGAATGCGCGCTTTCTTTTATTTGACATTTGGTTTGCAAGTACTGAGAGGACCCGTGCGAGCTTTTCTATTGCTTACTATAGTACTTGCTGAATATTAGACCTTCCACCTCATAAACTACTGTGATGATCCAACCGGTACTCGCGTATGGTCTAGCTTATTTACTGTTGCTACTAAAAGTAACATGGTACGAAATGAAAAAATACAAACATTTTCACAATATATATTTAAGCAGAAAGCAAGAACTTTTGTTATAGCATGCAATCTCTTTGCTAACTACTTTTTATATGATTATGTGTGTACTTTCTGTGTTATTGTCTCTATCTCTCTTTACTAGAACTAATAGCCGTCGCTTTTTGCATCCACTTGTATCCGAATTTAGGCAAACTCAGAGCCTGCGTCGAGCCAGTTCCATCGAAGTTTGAGTGCTTCAACGATTTCGTCTGCAACTTCACCCCCCGAGGCCGGCATCTATGTATGTGTCCACATCACATACCGATTCTAGTAACCAATAGAATCGGATCGAATAGCGACCGATGTAGTGCGCCGGTGGCCGAAGTTGGTAAGTACTGTTCAGTGATGCGGTAGTCTACTTATAGGTATGGATTTAAAAACGGATATAGGTCTACCCACATCAAATAAGCCAGTATCATTCGCTGCAAGCTATAGCGAATGCCTGTTAAACAACTATTGCCGTTTACCAACAACAACAACAACAGGCTTAAGTCTATCCGCTCCATAAGTGCGACGTTGACGGATCGAGCGTTTAAGATTTCCGTCGCCAAAGTGGCCCAATGCTCTGACCGGCAACTATAAATTTTGTATTCTTTATCTGTAATCAGCCATGAGAAGATAAACGCTCGTAATCTAGTGGTAGCATACTCTCTTTTAGAATATTGGCGGCTGCGGTATTTGTGCTTGTCTGTTCGCCAATGCCCAATCTCTCCAAGATCAACTGCTAGTTCTGACAACAAAATTAGAACACCAACAAGCCAATTCATTGTAAGCTTCATCGACAGCTCAAGGGGTGTAACGCAGCAAATCTTAGTCCTACCCATCGACCTAGGTAACACTACTCCGGTTAGCACCTGGGCGTGAGCCATCAAATGTATCCCAAACTAAGCAAAATGGTCAGTCACGCGCTTTACGGTACACGTAAAACGCGTGACTGACCGCATGTACCGGACTAGAGGAAGTGGCATTTCTTTTCGCTATAGTAGTATATATAAAGGCGAATAACGATTACCATTTTATGTGTCCAATACTTTAAATGCTTCTAGTTAACGAGACATTAAAGTATGTCCAGTGATCCATTCCATCGATATTTACATACAGCCGCCACGCCACGTACGCCTTCGTCTCATCTATTGGTTTTGGCTCCCACACGAACGTGGTCTTTCGTTACGTCCTAACAAAGAAAGCCTTTCGAATGAAATCTGGCGATCGCATAAACCGCCCAGACTGATCTCGGATTTTATAGATTATTCCCTTGGATGGCAGGGAAACCCCGGGTTCAGCAGGCGAATCTTTTCATACTCAATCCGTGTTTTCACTCCTGGAAGACTGTCTCAGCATCCAAGTACGCACCTCAAAGTTGGGGTCTTCAACCATTACAGCATACACGACGTCGACCTTTCACACTGCGAAAAATAACCCTCTGGAAAGTATATATACAATATATAATTGTCTACAGCTGTTAAATTAGACGGGGTAGAGGACACGACAAAGAGAACGTGATGGCGTTTGAAAATACGAATGGGCCCCCCAACGAAGACGTAAGTACGTGTTACCCTCAGGTGACAGTGTTGATACGTTGTAAGAAACGGCATCTAAATAGATCAATGTTTGACGAAATGAAAATTAGTAGAACCGTGTCCATAGGCTAACAGTACTAAAAAAAATTCACCGTCACTGCTTAGGAATATCTACGGGCAATAAATGGCGGCGTGGTGTGACACTGTTACCTATAAAATAACAAATATTTTTTTTGGTAAAAAAGAAATTTAGGTGGATATTAGAGTAGGCAGTATTTAATCTTTCGTTCACATGAATATATATATATATTAAAGTACTCCTTTTACACTCAGTCTTTTTTTTCTATACATAGATATGAAGAAGGCTAGTTAGATCTAAGAGGGATACGAACGGGGTAAGAAAGATGCGCTCATATTGATCACCACCTTGCGAGCAAAGATAAAAGCAGAGAAACATAAAAGCGCCAATTGTTATATCGTAGCATTGCTCTGAAAAGGAAATTTTTGACCTACTGCCTTTTACCACTCGAACACAGTTCATCGAACGCCCAAGATATAATATGAACATTGAATGTACTATAACGACAGGCCACAGCAGCTTTGTTAAGTAAGTCTGTTTTAGCTAAAATTCGAGAATATCTGCAAAGATACCTTTGATAGTCGATTGTGTCTCTTTGAGACTAAACCTGTGCCGGAAACCTTTCTTTTGAAATTAAATTTTTGAAAAGAAAACCTACAGAGTTCGTACTTAATTACTCCCAAGGCCATTGGAAAGACGGAGCTTATCAGTAATTTGTTCGCAGAGCACATAACAAGGTACGTGTTTGCATAAATCAATTTGTGTTATATAATACACAGACATTTTGACGGTAACATTCAGTTTTCTATACTATTTCCTATATACCTCGGATCCCACCCTGATAATGATCACTATGATATATAGCGTATTTGAAAGGTATATTGAAAGTTGACCGTAAAACACCTAAACAACGGATGTACATCAACGATAGTTAGCTTTAGAATATGTTTTACTATGAAGCTAACTTTCGGACAGAATACTTTTTCAGTGGTCAATCTTATATTGATTTATCGCGCAAATATATTTCAATACAAATCGCTGAAAGCGTCATGTATTACAGACAATTAAATAATACGTCTATTTACTAAAAAAACGACACCTTCATGTAGGTCTGTACATGTGAAATGGGCGACTTGATGAAAACGATAGTTTCGACCGTGAGAACTTGCACTGGAATACCGGCTATTATATGGTACAGTGTCGCTTACGGTTACTCAGAGGCTGCTCCATTTGCTTAGACATGGAAATGGTGCGCCAATCTATGTAAACAAAGAGTCAAGGACAAAATTTTTCTACAAGTTACATTGAAAGTTGATTGTCTAATTTATCTCTCGTTCGAGAGGCAAGCTTCTATTGCAACTATGGTCAAATTCGGCTAGAATTAGATAGGGATTTACCTAGTTATTACGCAGCTATCGAAAGCTGGTAGGACTATTTCGTCTTCGAGAAAAGCTCATTCTCGTCAACTTGAGGCACAACAAAGTTCACACGAATTTATGTTTGGCGGCGTTGTTTGATTTAGTGCAATGTAACGGAGAAACTTGATGTTCAGAAGTGAGTTCCCGTTTCGTCCGTTAGTTACAGTACGTTGTCAGCATCGTCTTTCAATCGCCGCGGCCATATTGAGCTCAAATTAAAAAAACAGATTCGTTAAATATACAAGAGCATGTATGTGCTGGTATAAGACATTTCTTTCCTATAAGAAAATAGTTTTTCTTGATTTTCCATTCACAACTACCAGGTTGATATATGTAAGAAGTAGAGTTACAAGGTAAAAGCGAAATTTATGAAATGGCATGATAGTTTTGCTCTTTAGTTTTTTTATCCTGGTCTAGTAAAGCTGTTTTAACTTTGATTGCAATATATGGGGCCTTTTCGAAATATAGTATTTTCTACATCATTTAGTTTTTTACATTTACATCACATAGTACATTTACGTAGTCTACAGCAGTATACAGATACATATGTATGCACTTACTGAGTCGCCGGTTATACGTCCGAGCTTTGTTTTTCTTAAGCATGTAGAACAACTACATGGTCGCCACTTGCTAATTAAGCTGGCATCTACAAATGAGGCTATGATAATAAAACGATGATTATGAAACGATGTTAGACACGCTATATAATAGCTAACGAAGACACAGCTAATCATGGTGCTCTAATAAAAGCATTGCATTAGGTTAACGTCTGTCAATCGCACCAAATAAAAGTCTGCTGCTATGTCATTATCATACTGGATGCGTCTGCCAACGTTCTACAATCGGAGGAAGGGCATACGCTAGTGAAATATCCTGAAGCCCCCATAGTTTTCCATATCCGACTCTTATACAGTGGTAAAACGTACAAGATTTAACTGATATTATGGAGCTGTATCCATGGCATGATCTAATGGTAGTACGATACATATCTGTTCACCATGATCGAAGCTGCCTTAACAATATCTGTATAATCTGGTAAGCAAGCTAGTGACGCATCACTCGCGAGCTTTACCCCGCGCCTATTTCGCTATCAAACACAATTTTATTTTACCTCTATAGAGGTAAAAGACTAATTACATTTAGAACAAAGATAACGTCGAATAGCGACCACCAATTTCGTAATTAATCTAATCTACTAGCTTCTTCAATAAGTTTTAAACACACACACAAATGTTAAACACAGGTAAACACGGTGCAATTTTCAGTCCGGTGCGGCGGGGTTTCTTCAAAGGCGGGGTCTAAAAAAGGGGTTGCTGTCGTCGGTCTATGGGACAAGCACACTTTTCCCTTTAGGTAGAAACGTGTGTGGCCATTCGTTTCTATCCTTCGTGCACATTTTTACAGGATGAAACTGTAACGTCCCATAAAAAGTCACCCCACACAAAAAAAAAAGGAATCGTTTTAGGTCCAACAAACAAACAAAGAGACTCAGATTTTTAGCAGAACAAATGTATATATAGTGTTTTAATCCGTACTATCATGATTTCTCATACATTAAACATACTTACAAATATGTGCAATAAATAAAGAAACCATCCAGTATATTTTTTATTATTTTCCTTTTATAAATATACTGTTTATGGCTACGGGACAGAACCATTTTGTTTAACATTTTGTCGGCTCATCTGTTGGTATAATGATAAACTCATCGCGTGAGTAACCCTTTAAGTTTTCGTATGGCGATCTCTGTCGCAAAATTCATTGTATCTTCGAAGATCTTCAAAAAGAAGAAAGCAACCTAAAAGAACCTGTGAATACTACAGGCGTCGGAATGAACAGGTGAAACCCTGAACAGTATATTACTTAATAAACTAAAATTGATTTAGTTTAGAGTTTAGTAATAATATGACTATAATAGCTCTTCCGCGATCGAGTGAAGGTAGCTGTTCAATTGATTTCGATTGATTGTTGAATCCTCCAGAATCAGTGATATTTGTGGGCTATACCCCGTGTTGTAGAATACAATCGTACGGCCGGACAGCTGCATGTTCAATCAAACACCTTATAAAAACAGTTTCAGCGCCTCGCAGTAGTTGTACGCAATAAACAAAGCCAATGTAAATATCTGGCTGATATAACAGTGAAAGATTTAACGCGAATGACGTTACCGTCCAGTCGAACTCGAAAAGGATGGCTCACGCCCCAGTAAATATCGGGTATCAGAGTATCGGTTTAGCGCATTGATCACAACTGAGCAACGCAGATGAAATATCTACATATGCATATATAACCACTACAAGTAATAATAAAAACATTAAAAGTAGAGTTTTGGTACCAGTTCAGATAGACCGAGGATCTTCCGTTTTTTTGATACCGATCACGGGTGCTGCTTTCGAGTACAACATCGAAGATTGCTCATCAATAGATACACTAGGTGTAGACATTTTCTAATCTGCAGGACATTTGTGGTATTCCAGTAAATTTCGTTTTTCTCCTTTAGATTACAGGGCACCTCCATAAAAATACTGCCATGTCTGGCAGATTGCGCGAAATTTTCCATATTCGACATATGAAACAATCCCGTCAGAAACTGTAGGGCCTATAGAACGTTTATCGGACATTGTGCGCGTGTATTTAATCACTTCAGCTAATATCTCAGAGAGTAAGAAAAAGAGAAACGAATAAATATTATCTGAGCTGTTTTCCATAATTAGCCGTTAATGGATAACTTATTAATGCTAATATAAGATAACTTTCAACTTGATAAGCAACTTCTCTTCGCCGATCGGATTGTACCAAATCAATAAATGAATTTATCAATTATCGATGGGTAAGTTAATAGGCAAACTTCCGCGAGTGATATCGATATATAATAGCAGCCTGGCGTGATGAATGATGTATTTGATCCTTGGTACAAAACCCAGTTCGTACTAGCCATTAGAAAGAACTGGGTTACGTGATTCCCTATATCTACAAACAAAATGTCTTTAGTTAACAAATTCCCTTACTCTACGCACGTCTCCAATAAATCAGGAAAGAATTAATTATTGACTAGTAAGGTGCCAATAATCCTACAGCCAAATAAGGAAAAACAACAGTCAAAAAATAGTCGTCTTAAAATGTTGGCCAGTGTGAGCAGAGGTACCATAATGCCCGGAAGGAAATGCATCTGATAACAGAAAATTAGGACACAGATAAGCTTGTATACCGTAGGAACTAAGTCGCTCCTAGCTTAGTATACTGTATAGAGTCAGGAGATGTCCCGTAGAGCTGTATAATCGAGTCCAAGTGTAAAAAAAGGCCGCCAACTACAACGGCGTCTAGTCATCAGACTTCAAGCCGAGGCCTGGACAGGACGAGTGACCTTTGCTAAAATTAGCTGAACGGAAAATATAACGGTTACAAAAGAAATTAATTTTGACGATAGATTCAGTTCGGTAATGCGTGCTAATGAATTTGCTACAAACGAGAGATCTTTCTCAGATATTGGTGTGTCTGTGTATGTAATGATAAGTGTAGAAGCAAAATCTTACTACTTCGTGGACACCGACTGCCATCGTAGCTAACCACTCTAGAACTGAAATAGGCAACGGAAATTCAGCTATGCCTTTTTACAGTAGCAGTAGCATCTTTCCACTTAAATTTGCCCTTGATGCGTTGCGTGTCTTTAGCCCCAAAAAAAAAAACTTATAAGTAGTGAGCTTACCTAACTAGAGCTGAAATCGCACAGCTACGCCTAGAAGAGAGACGCGTCGAATACAGTGTTCCTGTTGCATTTATATGTCGTCGTAGTGAAACCTGCAATTGACACATTTCAATTTCTTCTGTTTGGGTGGCTGCTTCATACACTTTCGTGCGTTTTAGCTAGAAGCGCGAATGCGTAAAGATAAGCTTCTAGAAGCGGCGCGTAACGGTACAGGTGTATATATACTCTTAATGCGGCATTTTTACTACAGATAGACGCCAGTTGGCAAGAGGCGGACTCTATTAACAATCATCATCCCTTCTCGAAGTCTGTAGGATTACCCCGGTCCCATTTCGCGCGCTCCTTCGTCATTTGCTTCCCTCTGTCGCTGCAATTCCGCTTCAGTCAAATCATAGAGAGACTTGGCTTGCCACAGCAATACCTCCAGTCGTAACAACATTGTTATCAAATTTAGTGTAGACACGTGCCTTGACAGCTGTTGCAGCGTTAACTGACCGTTAAGGTGACCGGCCTCTCATAGCAAAGGTGCCCGACCATCCACCGAAAAGATTGCGTGCGGCCTTAATTGTGCTCGTGCTACTGTCAGCAGCCTTAAGAGGGTTGCATCCCGTAGACAATCGCTGGCAACGCGGAGTAATAATCAAACGACTTCAAAGCTTCGTCTACAACCGTGTTGCATCAGGTCGTGCGAGCAGAACTAGTCACGGTTCTGCTGTTGTTTGCTATCTTGTTCTCTTCCGGTGTTTTGGTTGAATCGATGCTTGCAGTAGGCCGAACTTGATAAGTTCATGCCTCGGCTTATTAAGTTTCATCTTCGTTCGTTATTGCCAGTCTATGCTCTGCTAGCTGTCGGACGCGTCGTACCACCCGAATAGAAGTCGGCGCTAAGCGCGGAGTGAAAACTGTTAGATTTGCTTGATTTGGACGCTTCGTTATTATTGTGACCACTATGGCCTTTCTAGTATTCTCGTTATCACACGGAAGTAAATAGATAAAGGGTCGAGAAGTCTTATGGCAGGAGTTTGGGATTAGCGCCGACCGCGGGCGACGCAGGTAACAGGAATTATGTAGAAGGTAAAGGCACTCTGTGCAATGCATAAGAGCAATAGACAGTATTTAAACGAGACTAGCAAAAAAACTCACAATGATCAGATAGAGAATCGAAGACGGCAGACATGGGAACGTTTCTTTGTGTGCTTCAGGATAAGCCATTTCTTTCTGCAGTAAACGTTCTCTATTTTCTTCATCGTCAATCTCTTGTAGCTGCGTGGCGAATGACTCACAGTGTTTGTTTAATTTTAAGCTCGGACTAAACAAGATTTCATGGAGCGTTAATGGGATACATTAATGGGGTTTCCCTCTGGTATTGAAGTTTCAGCAACAGTGGCATTTTGAAGAAGGACGGAGTACGCAATTTTTGCAGAGGACCCCAATGAAACAACTCGACCGTATTTTTGACATAGGTGTACGGCCGGACCCTCCATGACGGGAGACAGATATGATGACCAAGGAAAGCATTAGTTTTACACCATAGCTTTCATTGTCTCTTAATAGTTTATTATCTCTCGTTATTTTCCTCAGTCAGTGTTTAGAAGCTGCGTTACCAAACATGAATCTATTTTTTTCTATAATGCATAAAATAGCTATGTGGGTTCATCAAGGACGAGGCATGGAGACGGAAAGGGAGGTAAAGCATTTAGAAGCGTTTATTCCAAAGTGCAGTCCTATATATAGGCACTGTTTATATATCTCATGCCATTCAAGCTAAAAGACAATTCAGGTACCTTCTATCAGTTAACATAAATAGACACTGGATAGCGCGTTAGACTGAGACTCAGCTGCTGTATTTTCCCATAATAAGGAAGAGTATATTCTTCCATAACCAGCTACGTAGGCAACCGATGTCTGTTCACGTGACAGCTATAACGCGAATTATAAATAGCTATACATCTCAATATATTCGAAGATATCCAGGTATAACGCTCAATGAGGCAAAACACGTTCCTCAGTAGAGCTAAGCTGAACCCAGAGTATAGAGTGTCATGCAGTGATGTTACTACTCCACTCCATATACACGTAACAATAACGAGACACATCAGCAAATACTTCAACCCAACCAAAGTATGATTTATACCACGATTTATCTATGGGAAAAATCGTATTTTTTTATGCTCACATATTTAATTAATATATTATATCATGATAAAGTTAAAGATTTTTTGCTCAAGCTATTATTAATATCTTTTATCTCGCCTTTTAGTGCTGCTAGACGGACGCTTAATGGTAATGGCAGCTGGGCTGCGTCCCGAAATGGGTTCTAACCCTTGAAATACACAATAATTAGCGCCAATACGCCACAAATGACTTACTGTTTAGTATAAGCGTTAGATGATCTTGAGTACGATATCCGTAGTACAATTAAAACAGATCGTTATTGAATAGTTAATTTTTTTTTGTATAAAAGGAAATCGCAGTCTCTATATATTGCAAGCAAAAATACTAGATAGTTTTTCAACGACAAGATCCATTATAGGTAGTAAATGAGAAGCTTACCGTTGAAACAGCGTCGTAGCACAAACTCCAAACTACGTGTGTAAATAGACGTTTATCTGCGATAATATTTTTTTATCTGCATATCTATTGACTACTTTGAAAACAACCTAGAATCGTTCAGACACTGTTCCGTCAAAAGCACATTTAGGGCAGGTCGGCTCTACCTCGTTCGGTTACATAAGGAAAAAAGAGACCCTGAGTTGTTCCAGAAGCACAGTTCCTTCAATAGAGAACTTACCGGTTGCTTAGTACTAAGTTTCATAAGGATGAATGAATCGCTGCCGTATGCGATCTTCACGCGGCCTTTAAATTATTGAGAAAAGACAAATAAAAACATTGGCTTGGTCTGTACAACAGCCTACGTGAAAGTCGGAAAGAATAATACGAGTCCTAAAAATAGGGACGTATTGCCTTAAGTTAAAAGTTGACTAGCGAACAACTTGGTCTACGTTCTGGTAACTACAACATACGTTCAAGAAAACCATGAAAAGCTATTAGGAACATTCAGCCTCATAGAACCGACAACTTACCGCAGCTTGACGGCGCAAAGTTTTATACTTACTTATAGTTACTTCATACGTACTTATATATATATATAAGTACGTAACTAAGGGATTAAGCGACACTGACGAAATAAGGCGGGAGCTTGCCTCCGCATTTACACAGCTAGAGCGTGTTCAAATAAAATTAAATAATATATATTGTCCCATATTGGGTAGTTCATTAGGCATCCTCTTTGTGTGATTATTGCATTTTCCATAGTCAATAATACCCTTTCCGCCATTGTTCTAAGCCCACCACATCAGCGGCAGTAAAGAGAATATAATGGATAACATTATAAACGGTAGAAAAAAAATCTATTTCTATACCTGAGGGTCTATTTATGATGCTTCAGATCTGTGGTACACCTCTTTTGAGACCCGTGTGTTAGAATTGGAGCGTATAACGAGGAAAAGAAGATTCAAGGTAGCCGTAAACCTTGCCTCAACGGGTCGATTTTGGCGTCACATATGCTGTGTGCTGGTTTGCTATAGCTAGCCGTGTTTAGCCTCTGCATGCAAATTAGACGTCTGTTCGCTCCTGGCTGGCCAGTGCTTTCATAATACGCATAATCCTCTCATTCAACGTTTGTCGAATGTACTTAAGTCAACAAATATGTGAACGAGAAGTACTATAGCCCATTGTCCGAATCCAACAAATCATGTTTAGCGGCTTTCTCGATGTAAAGTAAGGGCTTGCCGATTTCAAACTCAGCTAAAATGAGCAACGAAACTCTCATATTCTTTGGTATCGGTCTTTCTGCAAGACAGCCGCTCAAGCATAACCGTAGCAATCCGTATGTACAGGTGTCTCTCGTAGAAGCACCATGGAATACACTTACTGCCGACGACCTGCATGTATCAGCGGGTCTTCGTATCGCGAATACTATGTAAGCCTAAACTCTAGATAATATGATGTTACTATATAGTGAAATAGTTTTGTTGGATGATTTCGTTCTGTGTTACGTGAGTCCGTCTTTTTGGCTTAGACTTTTTGTCTTGAAAGAGCAGCTTCAAATGTTTATAAACACATGACATCACGAAGTACGCATGCGCCTGGACCGGCCTTTATTGTTCGACTGCTAGGACGCGTGCTTACCTGTCCGTCTAAAAATAGCAACGACAACAATTCACTCTTTAAGTGTATCAGGTAGTGTTACCTTTAGCTCCATCGAGCATGCCTCGAAGGGATAATGTCTCGGTTTAACTCTATTTAACACCTAACTTCCCGACGATCTTCTTTAGGGCCTTTTCGAGTTGTGTGTCTGGTAACTGCGGTTAAGCATTCAGATTGCGTTAAGGTTTAGAAGGTAGCTGGAATTTTGTGCTATCTCTGACATACGTTTATTGACCTTATTTATCTCATATTTATTTCAGCTGGCCGATTCTTTCTTGCATAACGTAATCAGTACGGTACATGTGCTTCTTAGATCTTATACAATCGATTCTATAAAAAACTTCAAATAAGGTTAAGAGACAAGTAAGGATGACACATACGCATAGCTTCAACGACAGCTTGCAGTCATTTCATTGTTCCGTACAAACAATACCGGAAGACAGACTAGAGCTAATAACAACGACGAAGCTATCCGCGCAGCCTTTGTCCTATTTTCGCTATGTATTCGATGCAATTGGGTATATATAGATAACCAGCGAAGAGATAACCTGAAGGACATTGAGACGCTGGCTAGGGAATACGTCGTCTATACGTAGAATACACATCCAATGGCTTTCGAATCTTCAGTCTAATCGTGCTAGGACGCCTGCCATGTTCTGGTGTGTGAACGGAGTTTAACATAATGATTTGACATACAGAAACATTCGCATCGTTTTACGCGTGTCTTTTCACGCTAGCGCGCATGCATAGCCTCTGGTGTTCGTGAATGTTTTATTAAAAGATCCGAATACAAATATACCAGTACAAACAATTTAGTATTTTCACTGAATGATAGCGCAGCTGTTGTTCACAAGGCACCCTATCAGCATGGCTAATGTTACAAACGTTTAAGAGGCTGAAGAAAATCAAGCTTCCCTTTTAATACTGACCTTAGCTTATGGGTCTATAGTGTGTGTGATACTTGACAAATACGAACGTTCTTCACAATAGCATAGGCCGTAGGGAAGATAATGTATACTACCCGGTTAGGCATATTTGTTTTTAGCCAGAAAGTTGTCGTTCCTAATTAAACAAGTCATACACGATGGGTCAGCCAGCACTAGTCTAAACTAAGCATTCCGACATCTTCCTTCAAACTGCAATTAATCGTTCTATAAATCCCATTACCTGAAGCGGGTTTCCGGATGGTATATGCTGACCCATTTTCTAGTCAGAGTATCTGCCTATTTTGCCAGTATGGCTTTTATAGAGGTGGAATTATCGTTATACGTTTGTTAGCTGGCTGGAAGTACCTAACAGGCTTCCGTTTTAAAGCACGCATTTCTAAGGAGGAGGAAGAACTTGCCAAGCCCGGACAAGTTACAGTTCACTTAGCCTGCAGTTTTATCTGGTAAGGAAGGGGCTTTTTTTTTACTTTTTTCTTTTAATACTTTATTGATGTCAACTCACACTTGCAAGGTACGCTGCGTAATCTATTAGGTTGCCTACCTTCTTTCGTTAGCCTCTGAATCGCAGTTGAACCTAGCTTAGTTCAAAGAATCAACCCATAAATAGGAAAACATCTAACATAAGGTCAAATGCCTACGAAACAGATTGACTTTTATGATATATTTTAAATACATAACAGCAAACAACCATATTGTAAATGTGTTTACAACAAAAACATTCGACTCGTATAGAACATATTATTAAAAAAGCGTTTTGATTAATT